CATAAGTGTAGCCTAAGAAAAAATAACGAAAATGGTACAGCATTAGCACAGCATGCACAACCGAAGTTGCATAATTTTGATTTTGATAACACAAAAATACTGATTAACGAGAGTAATTATAATAAGAGAAGAGTCCATGAAATGATACAGATTAAAAAACATAATGCTATGAATTTCAGATCGGATACGGACAATCTTAGCTCAGTATATAGAATATTAACTAACACCCGGTATATTGAAGAATTTTGCAAACCAAAAATAATATTCTCAGAATGCAAAGAAAAATAGCTGAAAGTAAAAGAAATCAATATGAACAGTATTTCGCTTTGTGTGCAAAATGGACAAAATTAATACTCCAAATATATGCCAAAGCTTAAAGTAGCAACAACGCTACACATGCAAGTAAAAATATTTAAGTATCTGAACAAAGAATTCTAGTTTCTTCCCAGATTTGATTGTCCTGACTAATCACCTGTTAGGCCTAATTAATCTTAGAATGTTTTAAAGTGTTGCAATTGTGATGTATTTTAGTGTGTGATATGATGAAGCTGGTGACGAACTGTGATTGTTTTTTAAATTAGTGAAAAAAATTTTTTTTCAACTATCTGTTATTTTAGAAAAACTGATGATTAATTTTGATTTGGAATTGAACCACAGTCAGGAAAGTATGTACAAATTAGATTTTAAACTCATTATTCTACAAGTTAACAAAAAAGATGTACTAATGGGAAACATGTATTAATGGCGTGTAAGAAAAAAGGGGAATGTGTCATATTCCATTAAGCGGAAAATTTATCTTCATTAGACATACCTAAATAATACTTTTGTTTCTTTTAAATAAAATTAAGAATAAGCGAATAGACACTAACAACCCAATTCGACAAAATACATTTCAGCCTTCGTTTTAAAAATCAAAGTAAAGGGGCAGGTGACAATTTAATGAACCATTTGCTCTCTCAAAATGGCCCAAGGAAATTGCTTCCATTTGGCGGCATTCTGCTATTCCTTATGTTCGCGTCCGTTTTCGATGTCCACGCTGTTCTTTATAATAATTATGGAAGAACACCTGTACCAAACGCTTCCACACATGGCAGCGATGTAAATAGATAAAAATTTAACGTAACATAATGATAACGATTGCTTTGGGTAGTTAGGGGCAGGTTGCTTCCAACACGGGTGCGAAATGATAAAGCAGTCAGCTAATGAAGAACAATCGAACGGAAATTGAATGGATTATGGAAGAAAGAACTAGTTTGTGATTAATTTTCCTAAATTTTACATAACCAGACTATTGCAACATGTCTAATAGAGATTGTTAGAAATTAGTCAAAAAAACAAGTTGCATGCTATCTGATGTCAGAAACGCTTAAGAAATACTTGCTAAAGTTTGAGTATTTGCTCAGATCGGCGTTTTTTTAAATTGCATAATTTTTTTGTTACAATTAACAGATTTTCCACTCAAACCGTTTTCTACAGTTCCACTTGAGAACTAAACCGCACAGGTGGAGTGTTTTCTTCGCGGCTTTGCACAGGTGTGGGGCATCTGCCTGAATGGCGGGCAGTGCAACCCCACGCAAGTTGCATCTGCTTCCGAAATCACCTGTATTTTTTGGGGTATTTTACCGCGAAAGCGCTTCTTAATTACCGGATCAAGCGGGCATAAAATTGCCTTTCCAAATAACACCTTTTAAACCCATGATAAGAGCCATTAACGGCCGTATTTCATTTGTTATCTATTGGTTGTTCGAATTGAGTACATTTAGCTCTTGTATTTTGCAACTCTAATTTAGCCTATGTGATGAGATTTATGCAGAAGAATCAGTGAATTCTTGAAAAACTTATTTACTAACATAGAAAAACATTTAACAAGTAATCTAACTAATCCAAATAAGTGTAGGCTCCAAATCCATAATTCTCGCTATGCGCAAACAATTCGGGCCCTCCTTCTCTAGACGAGAACTCAATCTTTCTTCGTTGAGTTTTAGTTGTTAGTTCTTTGCTGGTTTCTTATTTTAAATAAATTTATCTTTGCTTTTCAACCAATATTTTTTTTTGTCCATATTGAATTTTATATTTTAATGCTTGACGCACACGCATAGATGCTTCCCTTTAATTTGTACAAGTTTTTAGCTTAATATTAAAAGACGCAATTTTTCCATTTTTATGTACTCTCCTCTGACTTCTCTTGACGCAGACATTTTGCATATAAATAAGCAATAGACAAAAACTATCTCACTCTATTTTATTTTTTTCTGCAAATGTTCCAAATTTTGCAAAAGTTCTATTATGTTTTCCCAGACAACCTGTTGAATTCAAAAAAAAAATTCCGAACAATCGGTTTTCGTGGTCTTAACAGTAATGGTTCAGTATTTCTTCAATATTGTTATAAACTAATTTGTGTGAATATTGATTGTGCGCTTCCTATCTAAATTTCTAGAAAAGTGTAATATTTATTTTCTTAAAATCGAATGGATATTTATACTGAGCACAAAGCACGTACAAACCAAATGACATTTCTGTAAGCCAAATCAATAAAATCCCACATTCGCATGTCGAATCTAAATTTTGCATATCGAATCCACGTTTTATTTTCGGGGATTCACGGAGCACCCCGTATAATAAAAGGTTTTAATGCAGTTTACTATATTTCAATACAAAAAAAAATAGTTGGAAATAGAAGATAGGTTCTGAAACGTTTAATAGTAGAAAACCTGAGATTATATTTAAAGACATGCAAGCTTTAATGAAAGTAACAAATAACAGCAAAATTTCAACTTGAAAAAAGCCGGTGGTTCCAACTCTCAAGTATCGAAACTGTAATCACCCGGAATAATATTAATAATTTTTGTTGTTTATCCAGATTGACTAGGCATGCATGAACGAAAAATGTAATTTAAGACGCAAACGCCTTTTTAACCTTTTATCGTGACAAATAAATTGTGTATTAATTGCGCAATGACTAGTTATTAAGAGACTTAAAGATAAACCGTACTTATGATTCAATATCAAAATACATTTCTAAATGTGATAAAGATTTTGTGTGCAATATTCTGATCAGGTCAGATACAGAGCAGCGAAGTATGCACCGAATTCAATAAATTACTTCTAGGCTAAAGCAACAGCTACTAAAAATGATGGAGCTCAATTAGGAGACTGAGGCAAATGTTTGGCACAGTTTTTCCAGACGATTTACCTAGATAAAATTCAGATGACTAAGCTCTAAAGAAAACAATAGTGTGGCCTAGGTAGTTTCTTTGTTCAGGCGAGTAAAGGCATCTGTCTCTTCGCATGTGGTCAATATTGTGGAAAAAGGATGAATTTTTTAAAATTTAACCCACAAGCACAGGGCTGTGGGCTTTTTTTTTGTCAAAAGTTTCAACTTGAGGGTCTTGCAAATGGTCTTCAGGGTTATTTTTAACAGGTGCTTCCGGTAAGCCGTTTGGACCATCTTCAGCTTTACCGTACCAGGTGCCAGGACAATTGTCTTTTTGGGAAATAATTACATTTGAAAATCGTATTGCAGTACCATCTGTTTCATTGTCAGCTTGCTAATTCGTCAATTGAATTGTTTTTTATTTTAGTTTTGATCATTGCTGTATACTTTTTTAAATAATTGGCAGTAAATTAGTGGACTATTTACAAAGAAGGGAAATTTTATAGAATGTTGAAGGTACAGATAGTTGCGATAAGAAGAAGGAAATAAAGAAAAACGATTTCGTAAAGGAATTAGTACAAGTTAAATTCGCAGATTGAAAAAATACTAAATTTTTTGAAAAAAGTAAATACGTTGATGAATTATTTCTGACAATAAATTCAAAATCATCGCAATTAAAACAACTTATAATGGCTTATAAAAAGAAAGAAAAGACGCACGTAATAAGCACGCAATAATTAAGCAGTATTAATTTGCATTAACTAGCAACTATAGTTTACCACTAACAGACAAATAGTTAATATGATACAACAAATGCATAAAAGTAGTTGTTTTAAACGCAATTTTTAGTTAGTTTGGAAGAAAATGTTTTATCGAATTTTGCTAACCCTGTCCTGATTTTTTTGTTTTAAATGCTCACTTCGGGTTTTAGCTCAGATTTATAAGCTTCCTTAATTGTTCCTATATGGTTAAGGGGGATTCAACATGTATTTTTTTAGATAATTCATAGAATTATTGAATTATTTAGGCACGATTCATTGATTATTCCTGTTCTAAATTTTCAAGGATATTCTGCTTTACACAGATTCGCCTAATAAGCCCTTGCGTTTCATTTTTTCGATAATTTGATGATATTGTAGACAAACCTGAAGAAATTTTACATGTATGTAAAAAATTTAAACTTTTGCAATATAATTGGATATTTTTGTGCATGAGCTTACCCAAGGGCTAATTCAAGTAAGAGCTCAGGGAATAATACGAAATGCATTAAAACAGTAAGCAAATTGATTTAACTGTATAAATATAGACATAAGTACGGTTACATGCAGATATTATTTAATATAATTAAATTAATATCATTAATTAATAAAAAAAAAAGTTTGTCGAACCCAGTATCTACTCAACACTGAAATCTGCTCTGATAAATTGTAAGACTCTATTTTACTACACAAAAACTCTTAAAATAATTTGACGTATACAAAAAATGACAAATTTACTAAATCTGGACAAAGTTACATTCACCATTTTGCAGATACATTACGTGTACCGTAGATGTCACTTTGTTCTTAATTGGCGTTAAATTCCACAGATGGCGTCTCTATTCGCGTAAACCGAGCAGCATTGCCGCTAATTGCTGGGATCGTTTCATTGATTGAATTTAATTTAAAGAGGCTCAAAAACTGTCCTCCCAAATAAATAATTCATACTAGTATTCTGTTAAAACTCGCGAAATTTTAATCAGGTTTGCCTAAAACCTGCAGTGGGAATCATCAAAGTCAGTTAACCTGCTAATCAAACATTCCTAAAATCTGGAGTATGATGTAAAAAAAAATCACATTGACAACGCAGACTAGGGTCCACCTCTACACAACAGCTGTGAAAGTTTGTCTGTCAAAACAGGAGGAGAAATGAGTTTTTGGTAAAACTGTTTTATTTTGCAATATAAACCTTTAAAAATTGAGGGTTTCCTCAATTGTTTGTGCAGCTCAAAATGTACTTCGACAACACTGGGGTAAGTTTAGTGTCGGCTCGGTTTTAATTGGGATTCTGGGTTTTATTTATATTTTACTTTTTTTTGCTTGTTTATAACATAACAACAATATATAATGTTCAAACTGTAATTTGAGAAGTTACTTATTTAGTGCTAAAAAATGTCCCAGCTTCTTGTTCCCATGTTATCAGTATGTAGATAACTGTTAATGAGGATTTCGTGTAAACAAATTGTGGTCCAAATCCCAGACTGTAACCATTCTAGGTCACCCAATAAATTAGCGATTATTTGCTGAACAGTCTAAATTTTCAATGTTATTAATTTGGTATTACAATTGTAATATGTTTTGTGACCTTTTCAATAAAACTGAATCACTACTGATCTACTATGAACTTATAATACATCGCTTATTAGAAATACAATTTAAAATAAAATATAATAAAATGCGGTACGTTTTTATTGTTTTTAGGTTTATATTTACAAAGGAGAAACTACCTCTCTTAGCAAATTCTATTTTTGTTACCAGATAACTTAAATATTAATTTATTAGAGTAAAGTTGATAAATAATGAGCATACACATCACACACACTAATAGGTAAGCAATTTTGAAGGAACAGAGTAAAATTTGAAATGTTACCCAAATTTCTCTTTATGTGAAAATTGTTAGCATTTTCTAAGAAAAGGTTCACTCGATGAACGCCTGTGTTATTTATTTCTCTATCCAGTGTGTAAAAACTTAACGAGTTTGCTCAATTTCCTTCTTTTCTGAGACCAGTTTACTGGATAGTGTTCCTAAAATCCAAGCAATTTGTATGTGACCGGGCTCCGCCGCATAACAATTTTATTGGTCGCTGTACTTCATATTCGAACTTAATTGGTCAGTTTGTTGGGTGCCTTATTTAGATTTATTTCCATTTGAAGAAACAACCTTATTTTTATCAGACAGTGTCGTTGTATTGCGGGTATATTGAGTGTCCAAGCAGGAATTTTTAGCTATATTTCACTATTATCATTAGACAATTTGGCGATTAATGGTCATAACGTAACATGTTTTGAAGACTCTTATAGTGATGAATAGGTAAGCGTACGTTAACAATTTCTAAAGTTTGTTGGCGCCATACTTAAATTGAACTTCCGTAAGTAACAAAATAAAATAATTAAATAAACAATGTACTACTTAAATAAGTTTAGATCAGTTAAATAAATTAACTTAAATTACTAATTAATACACGTTTTTGAAAATATATTTTGCACGCCCATGTTTCACAAAGCATACGCCAACTATTTACCCAGATTTAGTTTTTATGCTGGTGCAAGTTAGATCGTATATACTAAACCCACTATTCACATTTCGGTCTTTTTGTGAGAAAATTACCATGATTTCTTTATTCTGAATTTAAGTTTCACTTGGTAAATGGGTTTTTAAATCCTCTATCTAGTAGTTGAAAAGCGAATGTTGTAGCTCAGTTAATTCCTGATGTTTGATCAAGGAAATGGCGTAATATTTGAGCTGATGGCTGGATTTTGCCAGAGCCACGTAAAGCAAATTATTCATGCGGAAATTTCAATTTGTGTGTGAAAACTGCCGATATGAAAACTCCACTTTACATTTAAACAAGAAAATGCAACCAATTTACATGTTACAAGTTGTATAGAACGTTGAAAGTTGTGAAGAAAATATTCACATGGTCATCACGATCTTTTAGATACTAAATTGTTTTTAGTTAGCTGTAGTTGGCCCTTCAGAGCCATCCACTGGTTTGGCCGGTCATGAAGCGGAATATCTTCAAACGCAATGTGTTTTGGCTGATGGCGGCGAGAGATTTGGTGTTTCGTCTATAACGTTCGATAGACATGAGGAATTATTGTGGATGGGAAACCAAGGGGTAAGCATTCGTAACAATCACTTACTCAGTCTGAATTGACGCTCTTTTTCAGGGCCATGTGACTTCGTATTATACAGGGGCCATGTCAAAATATACATCCTTTCAAGTTCATGCTCATGAAGAAGTACGGCAAATTTTGACTTTAGACGAAGGCCTGTTAGCTTTAACTGCAAGCAGCCTAAGGTGTCAAATTAGAAGAGGAATCCCTGTATATACCCATGTGTGAGTACATTGCTTTCATAGCATGGTAAAATGAGGAAAACACCTGATGTCGATATTGCAGCTCTTCAAACATGTCTGAAATGCAGTGTATGCTACAGATGTCCCCAACGCGGTTACTAATCGGTGGACATCGGGATAAATTGATTGATTTCAATTTGCAAATATGTAAGGAAAATCAAGTGGTAAGTTTCCAGCATACAGCGCAAATTTCATGTCGCAAAGGACAGTTTTGTTAGAATTTTTTAATTCATTACTTGTATTTTTACTGAATTAGGGCAATGTATCCGAAGGAGCGTCGGTAATGCTGCGTCCTCATTCTCGGTATGTTTGTTGCGGAAGTCCTACAGGTTCCATCGAACTGAGAGATCTGAATAGTCTTAAACTGGAGCATACAATTGATACTCATACAGGCAGTCTTAGCGACTTTGACGTACAAGGAAATCTGATGGTGACTTGCGGGTTTAGCAACAGGTAAGTTCAATCTTACTTTTTGTATTAAGTAACTCTTGCAACATTATTCAAACAAACAATGTTTTTATTGTGCTTTTTACATTTCCAATCCGTTTTTTTTTTCGAAGTAAACTGGCAGTATTTTGCAGATTACATATAGAAATGTTTTATGTTTATGTTTATATGAAACATTTCTATATGTGATTTGACCGGCCGTGAAAGCCTTCATAGTCTGCTTTCGCAGATTGTTCGAAAAAAGCTTAGTAGTGTAGAATAGCTGTATTCTACGGTATTAATAATTAATACAAGTATAAATAAAAGTCTGAAACATCGTTTTAGACTGGAATTGAAAGCGGTAAAAAATGATTGAATAATTTAGAAAAAAATTATATTAGGTTAGGCAACCTGGCAGTTGATCGCTTCCTCATGGTCTACGACTTGCGAATGTTGCGTGCAGTTTCCCCCATGCAGACTGTTCTTGACCCTCTGTACTTAAGATTTATGCCATCTATCACTTCACGCCTTGTCGTCGTTTCGGCCGGTGGCCAAGTCCAGCTATTGGACACCATCGCGTTAGCTGAGCCTAAAATCTGTATGCTGCAAGTCGATTGTCCAGGTGAGCGACTTAGACATCTGAAAATGAAGATAATTTGTCATACACCTATATCTACTTTGTTCCAGCTTCAATGGTATTGGCATTCGACGTAAGCACCACGCTACAGGCCATGTCGTTCGGAGACAGTGGTGGGCAAATTCATCTATTTTCAACAACAGACGAGCCTGTTTTCAACACTTATTCCCGACAGACGGAATTTCCAGATCCTCCAATTCAATATCCAAGTTTTGCTATCGACGATTACAGTACACCTTTGTCATCTATACCGATGATTTACAGTCAGTCGGACTTACCTTTAGCTTCTGATTTGCCTCAATACCTTACCAAATTTGTCTACAGGTACGTTTCAGATTGGATGATTTACTAGGATACATTCTTTTAATTCTCAGTTTATATCATCTGCTGCTGCTACCAAATATACTCGTTTAAAACAATGATTTTATAAAAAAGTACAAAATTAAATGACAATATTTGCTTCAGAATCGAAAGCAACCAAAAGTACTTAAACCTTTAATTTTATGACTTGCTAAATTATCAATATCTTGTCAGTGAGAAATAAGGTGTATTCATTATAGGAAGCCGCCAGGGATTGATTCCGAAATCTTACGTACTATGAAAATGCAAGGACCAATAGGATACGCACCAAATCCTAAGCAAATGCGTCGAAACCAAGTGAGCATGGATCATTTAAAACCGATTTATTTTACTTAGATTCGTTACTAATTTCTAGGGACTCTAAGTAGATTTTCCGGTGTTATTAACGGTGTAAATTAACGCCTGAAATTAGTTGATAGTTCTTCATTTTGTGGTGGGTTATTTGCATTTGAAATCGCGTTGTTTACTGTGAGTACTTTTGGACTGTTCGGCTTTCTTGGGTTTACGTTTTTTCAATTAGAGGAGCTTCGTATTTGTTATGTTTTTAAACATATCTTATGTCTGCTTTGATTTAGACTGACTGGTGGATTTGAATATTAAAATCGAATAAGTATTACTTTAACCAAAATATTTCGGTTGTTATTATTAGAATATATTAGGCGTTAAACTAGCTTTTTTTTAAATATATATTTTTATTTTGAAAATATGCACAATTGATTTTGTGTAATATTTGGACTGTTTCAATTTGTGATATCTATGACTAAATAAATTTGTTGGTTTATTGTGCTGCTGGTTTTCCCTTATAAATATCCTTTAATGTTTTGAAAGCCAATTTCTAATATAACTATAATTTTCGTTTCTGAAATATAGCAAACGTTAAAAAATTTAGATGTATTCCTATTCATGATGCATGTCACGAACTTTTTAGTCATTAAATTCACATTGTAGTTTGCCCTACTCTATTATTTGTCGGATGCCTTTGGTGGTAAGCCTGTAAGTATGCAACGTTTTTTAGTAGTATGTACTACATTGAATTAAATGACTGAAATATATAGTGGTTCGATTTCGTTATGAAGAATATCATTACTATAGAGAAAACATTGTGCTTTTAGGTGATGTACAGTATCAGGCAAAACGGCCATCTCATGAATTCTTTCTCGCAAAAAAGTCCGCAACATCAAGAAAATGACGGCACATTCATTGCCATTCCGAAGCGATACAGAAAAGTTGATATGAAGTATAATAAACTTGGCCAGGACGAGTTTCAATTTGACAACTATAATAAAACTGGACTGGCTGGATTGGAGGCAGTTTTACCGAACGCCTACTGTAATGCCGTTATTCAGGTATTTATAAATTGCAAAATCTGTTCTCACGAAAATAGAGGCATTTACTGTGCATGCTTTTTCTGCATTGGAGACAATTTATAAGTGTAACTTAACAGGAAGGTTTAGAAGTAACACCGAAAGCTGTTTTGAAATGTATAGGAATTTTCATAAAATCGATTTTGTATAAATTTGCTAATAATTGTTATTAGTCATCCCCGACATGCATTAATGGCTTTTTATGGAAAACAGTCTGAGCTGCATTTGTAAGACGGTCATTGTACGGTTAAATGGGAGTTTAAAATAACTATATACAAACCTAACAATTTTCAGCTGTTCTGGTTTTGGTACAAAGCTTATGAGACTCAACTGCATGAAGTTAAGCAGTGATTCCAGTTTTAAATTTGATTGATATATGATTGATATTGATATCGCGAAACGAGGACTAAACATTTTTTTATAATAACTCTAACATACTAAAAATGTATTTAATTTAGGTTCTTTATTACATCGAACCACTTCGAGCGTCATTACTCTCCCACCTTTGCTCGAAGGAATTCTGCTTATCCTGTGAACTGGGGTTCCTGTTTTATATGCTATCGCATAGTCCTCCTAACCAGCCTTGCCAGCCAGGAAACTTCTTGCGCGCATTTCGAACAGTACCAGAAGCTTCGGCTTTGGGTTTAATTTTAAGCGATCTTGCTCCTGAAGCCAAGCAAAAAACTGATTTAGGAGCACTTATACAGGTAAATATTTTTATTTACTCAAAGATTACTTAATAGATTTTTGAACACACACGCACATTGGGATATATTTTGGGTGTATGAATATATATTGGATTTGTTTCAGAGCTGGAATAGATTTATGCTGCACCAGATGCATGTTGAGTTAAACGAAACACGAAAGAGAAATGAGGAGAAAAAGGAGAAATTTTGCAAACCATTTATTTACAAGGAAATTGATTTTCCTGCCATATCTAAAGAGAGAGCCAGAAAACATTCGGGTGAGTACAGCTTGAGCGGTAATTTTGCTTCGTAATTGAGAATCGAAATGAGAGTATTCAAAAAATATTTACAACCCCAGCGGCTGAAGTATCCAATGAAATCGAAGAAGAGAAGAGGGAAGATGTTTCAGATATAAGCAACATCTTTGGTTCAAAGCAAATGCACAGACATTCATGTCTTAAATGTGCTGAAGAAGTTAACAAAGGATCCATTCTCTTAGCCTGCAATTTGGTAAGTTTTTTCCGTTGAAATAAACTGCTTTTTGCATTTGTTAAAAGGGTTTCGGTATTTTACAAAATAATTATAGTTCTATTGGAAATATTAATTTATCTTTATATTGATTAATGTTTTCGTTCGTCATTTTGTCCACATAATGTTTATTGCACTTTACCAAAGGAACCAGGCCTTGCTGCTAAATTTTCGATGATTTAAGACGTTAAGAAATAAAATAAAATTTATTTACTCTATTTTAATAGGATAATTAAAAGTGGTAAACTTTATTCTGAAACGCTATAACTAATTCTGCAGATCATGTATAAAATTTTATTTCAAACATATTTGAAAGTTTTCTTTCTTAGGTGTATCCTACAAGCGAACCAGAGCGGGACGAATGGAGTTTTTGTGACATATTAAGCAAATCTTTGTGTCCTCAGCAAGTCACACCTGCATGGTGCGAAAAATGCGGAAGGTTTACTCCCACATCGCAAAGCCGTGTCATTGAGGCAAGTATCAATTTTATATAATATACTTAGTTTCTCGCGAAATTCTGCTGCAGGAAACATTCAAAATGACTCAATTTTCAGTCACTGCCCAAAGTCCTATCGATTAACACAGGACTTCATACTCCACAACATAAACAATTCTGGCAGACGCAAATGGATAAAGTAGTAGCCAAACTTTCCGGAGCAGATCTTAACAAGTATGTTATATTTATGATTGGATTCAATATTACGACAGTTTTTGCCTATTAGATCAACCACGCCAACAACAACGCCCACAAACACGCCATCTTCTAAACCTTGCCGTTATGGAGATCACTGTTCCAGGCCCGGATGTAGATTCCGCCACAGTTTTGACAATACTCCCCCTCCTATACCCATAAACAACCCTTACTGTAGCAATAATTGGCTGCCACACAGTATTAAAATGTATCTGAATAATTCGAAATTAGAAATCAAAAAGTTAGGTGCCAATGGTGAAGAGGTAAGAAAGGTAATTTCCGGTTTTAAATACAATCAAAAGTTCTCACTATTTTTGTTTTAGCTGAATTTAGCCGATGATCTCCCAAAAACAATTACTGAAGACATATCAATAGATGACGGTAAAGAAAATGGAGCTGTGCAAGAAAGCAAACGCTACGATCTCACCGCTGTAGTTTGCTACATCAACGATCAAAATACCCCAGAACGAAAGAATCTTGTTGCCTTAATTAAAATTCCAGATTTATATATGAAACATAAGGAGCTTTCCGAACACAAATGGTATTTGTTCAATGATTTTAGGTAAGCACAAAATGGATTTTCCACGGAAGAAAAGAGATTTAATGTTTTTTGTTATTATTCAATGTTTTATTCTTTAGCATCAGCCCCGTTCCAGCCCAAGAAGCGGTTTGGTTTAGTCTTGACTGGAAAATTCCCTGTGTTTTGTATTACTCCTGTGCGGAGCTTCAAAACAGCAGAACTGAAATCCATCATCCGATCTCACGAGTCAGTTTTACAACCATTTAAAAGGTTTTTTCAAACGCATTTTAATTTTAAATAGGAAGTTTTTACTGAAGATAACTGCATAGCCAGATCTGGTGGCACGAAGGGAATCACATTCACTCCTCTGCTTGAAAATGAATTGTTGAACGCTGGCGATTTGGTAGCGATGGACGCGGAGTTTGTCACTCTGAATCAGGAAGAGGCTGAGTTGCGAAGTGACGGAAAAATGTCTACTGTTAAACCATCCCAGATGTCAGTAGCTAGAATTACTTGTATCAGAGGGTAAGCACTTATCGACATTTTTGAGTGCTGTTGCTTTTTTACATAAGTTCTATTGATTATAGGCAAGGGGATGGAGAAGGTACACCGTTTATTGATGATTACATTTCAACTCAAGAACAAGTAGTTGACTATCTTACGAAATTTTCCGGTATCAAGCCAGGAGATCTGGATGCTAATTTCACTTCGAAACACTTGACAACCCTAAAGTCGACGTACATTAAGTTAAGGTTTCTGCAAGACAGCGGAGTGGTGTTTGTAGGACATGGATTGAAAAATGATTTTAGGTAAGCGAAAATCTTTTATAATTTATTTTTACCCTCTAGTCTATAATTGGCAATTTTTAAATTTCAGAGTAATAAATTTAGTAGTTCCTACCGACCAAGTAATTGATACTGTGCAGCTGTTCCATTTGAGGCACCATCGAATGGTTTCACTTCGCTTTTTGGCATGGCACTTCTTGGGTAAGAACATTTTTGATTTTTTTTATACATATTGTCCAACAAAGAATTAAAAAATAAAATTCACATAATTTTCTTTTGTTAAAGGTATCAAAATTCAATCCGAAACTCACGATTCCAGCGAAGATGCTCGAGCTGCTTTGCAGTTGTACAAGAAGTATCAGGAATTGGAGCAATGCAACAAAGTAGGGGAAGCTCTAGCAGAATTGTACGAAATAGGAGAGCATTTGAAATGGAAGGTACCTGAAGAGTAAAGCTTAGTAGGTACACATCTCATCAACATTTTATTTTTTTAAATTTTTGACAGCTTGACGCTGTTTTAAAATTTCCCACTGCCTTGGCAACATACAAAATTTTCCGTCTAGTCATTTAAACCATTATAGTCTGAATTAAATTGTCTGCTAAATAACTGTAAAAATGATGCTCCATATGACATGAAAATCGAGAAATTAACGCAAACGAAGAGAATACAAGAAATAAGGCGGATCTTTATAGTGAGAAACAAATTTCAAAATTAAAATGTTATCATCAGTCATCAGAACTGACCAGAACATTCTGAACCAAGAAATATAAGTCTGTAAGTCATTTGTTTGTAATGCATCTACAGAATGTATAAAACTAAAAAAGAAAAGAACTCACTAACTTGCAGACCAGGTAGACCATTCTCCGTCTACCATATTTAATGGTAACCTATTGTAATACATAGCTCGATTTAAATGCAATTTAATTGCGACTTAAAATTGTTTTTAATTAAAATAGTTACTATCGCTTTGCAATACATTTTAATTTTGTATTTGGGTACATTTTGGAATGTGCATTGCAAAGAACTAAATTTTTTTGAACTGAATATTTACAAAATTGTTGTTCTATAGTTTGGACCATATGTGTTAACGTAATATTTGCACTCGTAAACTATCCGTTTTCGATAGTTTGGTATTACAAATGCAGATTATTTTTAGACTGCAGCCATTATTGTATAAACAAGATTGTATATTGATTTGTGTTTTTGTTTAAATTGATTGTCAGGAAAATTTCCTGTAGTACTTTCATCAATAAATTTAAAAAAATACCTTTGAGCCAGTAGTGTGGTTTGCAATTCAAATTTGCACTCAGTTGACAAGGTATTTTATTTTACTTTGTGTCAGTACAAAATTGTTATTTTTTTAATACGAAAACGGGGGCTACGGATGGTTTGCACAAAACAATTGGACCATCATGCAGGCGATGTATTAATTTTTATGAAAGAGTTGTAAAATCGCATTAGAATACTCAAATGATAATAAATTGTATTTTTGAAAAATACCTTGTAATAACCTTCCTTATTCCCGTTATTTCTGTGTGGTGAATTATTTATATTTCATCCTTGATCCCAATGGCTCCGTGGTTTATTTTCGGAATAAAAGAGCGGACTAATTTTTAAGTTTATTATGAAACTTGCAAGAAACTTACAAACCATAGGTTTTACTCGGTAAAATAAATCACTTACACTAGCATTTAACTAAGAAAAAAATACAAAAAGTAGTAACGTTACCATAAATATAATGAATATTATGACACCGTCTAATACCTACTGGCAGTATGATTATGAAAATCGTGGCGTACACGTGATGCTTATTAATGCTAACTTGGGTATAAACTTATACGTATTGATTCAAGACACTAAAAAAATTGCATTAACTGTTGGAACGTCAAATACTTGTACCAAGTTGTAAGTATTACCACTATTAGGCACACTTGGTATGTATTCGATTGAGTTCAGAATCTGACAGGATCTAGCTAAGTTTCATATAATTTCTTAAACTTTAAAAAATATGGCATGTTTATTATGACATTAAATATCGCCAAATTAAATACGTATCAAAATATGTTTTCCAATAGCACCGGAAACTACCATTAATAGCTGGAGTTTAAGTAATTTAATGAATCATGTTTTTTATTTAGAAAAATGTATACAAATATTGATATCAACTTAGACCCTCTAATTACCGTGAGTGAGTGAATTGTGTCAAAGTTACAACACTAAAAAATTATTAATTCACTCTAAAAGACCCAGACACATCTGCTTTCGGAATCTTCACCAATCTTTATGTCGGACAAATAGTTAAAAACTCATTAATGCAATTTCAATTGAGAAAACATATCACAAAAGACTATCACAAATAAAAATTAAATTAAATTTCCTAAAGGTCAATACTTAGGTAAATAATTATTTTAATGATAAACAAAAGATGTCTCTAATTTTGATTATGTGGAACATTACGTATGTCAACAAGGACTTAAGTTAAATCGCAAGTCTAGATTAAAAAACCCAAATCAAAATTACAGACATCTATCATAATTTAAAAGAAACCTTGAGTTCCTATTTACTACTCGAACGTTGGGTCGTATTATGAAACGATTACACTTATTAATATTGATTATTTGTTTACGTTAAATACAAAAATATTTGAATATGCGATTACAATGGCATATTTTAAGTTTAGTATAATAATTGTAAAATGTATAATTTTTATTGCGAAAGTAAGGCAAAAATTATACAACGTCAACTCGAAGAGATCATTCAATTATAGGGAAAAAGTGCAACCGAACATTAGTTTAAAATCTATACAGATTGGTTGGCTAATAGTCGTTGAATGCGTTTTAGAGACAGGAAGTACATTGTCGTACAGTAAATTCCGAACTTTTTTTGGTGCTTAACTGAAATTTAAGTTACCCCTAAGAACACATCCAACTACTATTCAGGCGCGCTACAAAGAATGTTATCGGCATAAGTCCGATATTTTCACAGCTCGATCAAAAATAATTCTAAAATCAAATCACCATCAGCAATTCCGCTTTTGCAATCAAACCAAACAAGCAAAAACGAGAAAGTGCTTTTAAACACTATTTTCGAGCTTACCGTAATTGTCGTGTGGTTCAATTAACGCGATCGTCAATAATATGCTTTTTTTCACTTTGGTGACATTTTCATCGCAATTTATCGAGTTTGCGGCAGGTTTTGAACTATTCATAAATGATGAATAATTTATGTATTAATTTCACGAAAACTAGATTGGTTCTTTTAACAATGTGTCGTTAAAAGACCGTTTTCAGAAATGCTGATCTTAGATATCTAGCACATTGGAAAACAATAGTTTTTATCACATTAAATTTTTTAGATGTTTTTTTAACATACTGGTTATGCCTATTTGTAAAATTGTTTTACTACTTGAAAATTTTCAACAACAAAAATTCAAAACTCTAAATCTCTATCTAAGGAATATTGAATATTTGAGGACAGATAAGATACAATTGAATTAAAAACCCATTTGTTTCACTTTATGCAGCCGAATAATTTGATTAAAAATATATTTGAAACTGGTTTTGTTTATATCAGCCTCCACAAATTTGCTTTTATCTGGTCATGCCAGAGGGATTTTTTGAACAAGAAACAATATCAAAGGGAGTGTTTGCAACAGCTGAAACAATGTAAAATCCGCTAACGTTCCAGTTATCCTAGGTCCAAGTAGCATATTTTTTAGGCATTAAAATCGTAACTTTCTGACAAATTTTTAGTTTACTCATGTACATTGTTTGAGTATTTTTTGTAGCCAAGTGGAGTGCAGTCAGTTTGTTCTTGGCAGATCAGAAATTAACCTTCAGAATCTAAAAATGGTTTAAAATAAAAATGTATACAGAATTAAAATTTCCACTGAATGCGCCTAAAGCCCAAAGTGGTTGATGAACCCGATAAAAAAGTCTCTAATTTATTCAAGCGTGAAACTGAACTGTTGCGTTTCGGTCAAAGACCAGAATATGGTATGAAATTATGCTTTAAAATCCTTTTCACAAGGGAATGACCTGTTCCAAATGTTACTAACCAGTAATTTCAATATTTTTTGTTATCGAGAGAAAAAATCAAGTCATTCTCCGTTGTTATTAAAATTTTTAGTTTGAAAAAACAAACCGATGCCAAGAACTAATTTTAGAGCCTTTTCGAAAATATTTTCATTCATTACTTTGCTAATTTACAAACAGCGTGGATATTTTTAGACTTGTTGATTCGATGTCAAAGGAAAAACAGTGTATTTAAGCAGTTTCTTCGTACTAGTTATGCGATTTAGTTGTTTAGATCCATAAAAATCATGGCTAGCGTCAGAGAGTTCCCAGATACTTTTATATATTTATGTTATTTTTCTAAATTTCTACATGAATATACCGGACGTTTCCAATTGCGCAAAAACAATGAAGATTATTTTTTGATGATTTTGAATAATTTCTAAGCTGTGTTTTCTTTAACTATCTTTTGTCCGGATTTTAAAGTCTCTTTTCTCCATACTTTACATTTCGAGATCTTTCATACGTTTTCAGTTCTAAAACGCAATTTCCGCATAAACGCAGTAGGGGAGCATAATGATTTTTAAAGAAAATAACTTTAAGTAGAAACAGGAATTAGGCAAAATGCAACTCAACCTTGATTTTAAAATTATGTAGATACATATTTAATTTGCGTGAAAATGAGTTTTTATATTGAGCAATTGGATGTTGAAAATTTTTGAAGCAGTAAAACTAAGTTGCAATAACAGGCATACATCGAGTGGCAAAAATGATACATTTTGTTACTCGAGTAATTATAACTTACCAATCAGCCACTGACAATGTGACTCATTTAGTCGAACACTTTAATGGCTGAGTTATTTGGATGGTTGTTCTAACAGCGAATGCCGTTGCATTGTGCACTTTCCCGACGAAGTGTCCTTTTAGAGCAAAATGATGCTTTAAGTCTTTTAATTCTCACTTATAGGTTAAAAACGTTTCGGTTGATTACTCCGGCCGCTGGAGCATGAACATGGTCTGAGGAAAATTGCTTGGTTTTGAAGTAATACGTGAGTTTGATGGACAAGTTACAAGCCATCGTTTTTCTTTCAATTTCTCGCAGCTATAAATACAGGAAGAGCTCTGCCACGTGGATTTAGATTTTAACCAGTTTCGGGATCCTTCTCTTATCGCTGAAAGTGCGAGAGTTAATATGCAATGCACTCTATTTGATCAAAATGTTTATGCAAGAGGGAAAAAATTGAGAACTTGCATTAACCCGCGCAACTTCAGGATCTAAAGACAATTGAAAATATTTGGCTTGGATCTGGGCCATGTTAAAATTTGAATTTTGGAAACATGATCGGTTTTGCATGCAGATGCATCTAGAACAATCTAACTTATTCTGTGTAGTAAATTTTAACTGATTTGGGCCAACTAACAGCGGATTTCTTCCTACATATACAAATAAAAAAACACATTTAGGAATGTTTTCCGGGCTTTGAAGCCGTGACCTATGGGAATTTCTTCCTGACGTTTCAAAGCCCGGAAAACATGCCGTGAAACGAAGATCATTCCAACCTTCTTGAAGATGAAGAGATACTTCAGAACCAACCAGGCCAAGAATATCTACAACCGGGCGGAACGAGCTCTTTTACGAGAACGGATACATGAAACCCGCCGAGATCTTGCACATATTGACAGTAGACTTTTACCTCTCAATATAGAACTAGCCAACAAAATGCACTGGATTAATTGGGAAAAAGTGGATAGATTAACAGCTGACCGAATGATGGTGGTCGAAGCAGCAGCAACTAATCGCCAAAAGAAGAAGTTTGATGCGCTGATGGAAAAGCTTCAATGATCCAGCAAAACAGGGCCATCACCCGAGGAGAACCAACGGAAGATTGTAGTCAACTTGACCAGCAAGGAGCTTACTGCTGACGAACAGAGCGTGCTGGCCAAGGGAGGAAACTCTGTCAAAGTACCGTCCAGGTTACCAGTAGAGGACATAATATCAAATGTAGAGAGTGGCATACGTTCGCTGCCCATTCAAACCGCGGAACAGATAAGGGCCGAGACTTCAATAATTTTACAACGCTCAAGGCCTCCGAAGAGCAACCTCACTTTCAGTGAAAGAAAAGCCCTGAAAACGCTAAATGAGGATAAGGAGATAAGGGCAATGCAACGGTGGTCATGTCTTCATTGAACTACGAAGACAAAATTAAAGAACTTTTGACCTCGTCAACGTACAAGAAGTTGACACGGGATCCGACGGCACGGATACTAAGAACAACGAACAAATTAATTATGGATATGACATTTCCATCCGAGGAGTGGGCAAAGCTCAAAATACAGAAGCACTCCCACCAAGGCTCTACGGACTGCCCAAGATCCATAAACCGGATGTACCACTGAGACCCATTGTGAGCGCAATTGGAAGTCCGACCTACAATATTGCAAAATATCTAGCTAAAATATTACAGCCAAAAATTGGAAAAAACGGACAGCTTTATAAAGGACTCATCCCATTTTGTTCAGAAGTTGCACTCGTTATCGTCGTCGCCCGGGGAAATCCTTGTGAGTTTTGATGTGGTTTCATTGTTCACAATGGTACCAATCAGGGAGGCAATGGAACTTGTTGCGGGAGAATTTCCAACTATTTTATGGAAAAATTTGAGAAGAACGCTCTGGACATAGCCGTGAGGAAACCTAAGTGTTGGTGTCTCTTTGTTGATGACACTTTTGTTGTTTGAGGCTATGGTCTAACTGAACTTGAAGACTTCCTGAGGCACCTCAACTCAATAAACCCTAAAATTCAATTCACTATGGAAGTGGAGAAGGATGGGCGACTGCCTTTTTCGGATGTCTTGGTGACCAGAAAAGCCAACGGAAAGCTGGCCCACACGGTGTACAGAAAACCGACACATACCGACCGGTACCTGCACAGTGGTTCAAACCATCATCCCAGTCAGAAAAGAGGAGTTATCAAAACTCTCACCGAAAGAGCCAGAAGAATCTGCGAACCAGCCGAGTTAGAGAGAGAATTAAAACACCTGGAAAGGGCCTTTGGTTGGAATGGATACAGTAAGAAAGATTTCAATAGAGCAATTCGACCAAAAAACAGTGAAGATCGCTCGGAGACAACAGAGACGCATGATGAGCGTAAGAGTTGGGCTTGCCTCCCGTACATACATGTAGTCACGGACAGGATCGGCAAGATACTGGAGAAACACCAAGTAAAAACCATTTTCAAACCAACTCGAACCATCCAACAGACTTTGCGCTCGTCCAAGGACAATCGGGATCCTTTATCAGCACCAGGAGTCTACAGATGTTAGAGCCTTCTATACCACCACTGTCAAGCATCAGCCCTCCACCTCTGTCTAGTAAATAGTTTTTGGCTTTTAAAATTCCCGCTAGTGGGTCAATAGGTTAAGGATCGTAAAAGAAGGGTAAGGCCCAAATGGGCAGAGTGATTGGGTGCTTTGTGTTGAGAACGCACGCCTTTTTTGAAAAAGAAAGTAGAGTTCAGTAGTTCCTTTGTTTGGAGTGATTTTGTCTGTTTATTAAAGTAGTTAAGCTACTTTAGCTTTTTATTTCGAACCGGGTTGTGAAGTTAAGACGGGTAATTTTATCGGACACTACAACAGAGTTCCGTGCAGCTTTCGAAGAGCATACATCGGCACCACAAAACGAAGCATAAATGAAGTTGCAGATTGGGACAAACAGAAAAATCAGTAGTAGCGGAGCACGCACTGCTAGACGGCCACCAAATACGCTGCGACGAAGTGGACATTCTGCACCAATCTGAAAGATACTACCCGAGACTCACCAGAGAGGCCATCGAAATATTTAAACACCAAAACAACTTTAACAGAAAAGAAGAAATTACGGCACTCAATCCAGATTGGAAGCGCGTTTTGCGCCAAACAGCGTGTGCGCCGAAGCATTTGAACCCCCACGCATGAGCACACACGGCTGGGCTGCATAAATACGGCGGGGAATCTAGCAGTTGAACCAGTCTTAGTCGGAAAGCACGGGAAATCACTTCGCCCACTGCCTCATCGCCTTTGATAATGTCCACCGCAGTTGTGGACGAAACGTCAGGAAGAAATTCCCATAGACCACGGCTTCAAAGCCCGGAAAACATTCCTAAATGTGATTTAACCGGCCGTGAAAGCCTTCATAGTCTGATAATCTTAGTGTAGTTTAGTTTGCCTTTGGTAAAACTTCAGTTTTTCCATTGCTACTTACCAAAACTCGGGTTTTATGCATAGAAGACTCGGACTCTGTATCACTTTCGAACGAATCATAGTCGTAATCTTCCTCTTCCTTGGCGGTGTGCAGACTCTCATAGTGATGATCGCTTTCATCACCTGAAACAAGAATCCAGTGAATTTTTCGCCTTTTGTTGAAAAATTTAATACCAATTTTAACGTTAAAGAACCACTGTTCCAAATGCAATGGATCAGTACCTGTTCA